AACTGAAATGATCTTCTCATGGGGTCGTATTGGAGTAGGAGTAGACAAGGGACAGACACAAGCCAAGGCTCATCCATGCCATGTTCAACTCTGGCTGAAGTTCTGACTGCTATTAAATCAACATACAGCTGTTCTATTTTTTCCTGACATAGGCTGTACCTTTAATGGCTGCAGGACAGGCAGACATCCATGGATATTCCTAGCCATGCTAAAAAAAGGTTCTGCTCTTGAATTCCTGCCTTTTATATAGCTATAAAATGTACAGCGCGCTTCTCAGCAAAAAGTAACTGTAAAACAGACGCCTTAAATTCACGGCTTGTCTAGCCTTTAGAACATATTCCCTCCCAATTTTTCCATCAATAAATTAGATGCCTTGTCTGCAAATTCATTGACATTTTGCTGGCTTCTTCTCTCTTGTAGCCTCTGCCTCTTGCATGTAGTGTAGCCTTTTCAGGCTGCATCAGGGATGTGTTTCTTCCTCCTAAAGGCAGATCTTCTTCTTCTATCTGATAATAAGTGGATCCTATTCAGAAGCTGCACCTAGGGAACAGAGAAAAGATGGCAAAAAGAAAATTGTATGAGAATGTGACAGCAAAAGGAGATTGGTTATTAGGCCCAGGTGTGCCTGTGTGTGGGGGGGAAACCAATCAACTTTGCCCACTTTTAAGGGTTTTGCTGGGACCTGAGGTCAGTTGCCAGCCAATATGGCCAGAACCAAGCAGTTTAGATTCATAATTAAGTTAAACAAAGTAGGTTGTCATGAGACCTTGGCATATGCCAATAGCATTGCTGTATCATTTCAAAGCTTCACATTTGCCCAATAACTTGCACAACTGGAATGCAGCCTATTTGTGCTCCCAACACACCATCATCCTTACTGCTTCAAACTAGATCCCCCCCCCCGAGAGTACACAAAGACACACACGCACAGCCCTGCTCCATCCCCTTTCCAGGAATGAGTTTGGTCCCATTCAAAACACCCAAGACAGATCTGCAGATATCAAAATGCCATCTCCCAGCTTAACTCCTCCCAAAGAAATATCAAACACTGGCTAGTCAGAATCATGGCAAACAGATCTTAAACTAGGTTTCAAATGTGAAAAAGCTGGAAAACTGGACGCTTCCCTCATTCTCTCGTAATATAACAGACAGACAGACAGACAGACAGACAGACAGACATAGTCCTTATGTAAATTTCTCTCTCCAGATTAGGCAGAAAATTGATGAAAGCTGGATTTCCACATGAGAGGCACTGTAACAAAGATTAGCTGTTTTCCTCTTTTTGATCTAATTTCCTGACCTGATTTCTAACTTTACTGCTCTTTCATTTTTCATTTCTTTCCCCTATGTAATGAAACACCATTTCTCACACTCCTATCATCCTTTCCCATCTCATAATGGCAGCTTATGAAACTGCGAAAGCACTTTTGTTGATAGTTTAGAGGTAGTCCAATATAAAAAGGAGTCTCCCAAGTTTTAAACTATTTTTAATGTTGTATTTAAATTTTGTGGCACACCCTGGGACCTTATGGTAAAGGGCAGGTGGTAAATATAATAATAATAATAATAATAATAATAATAATAATAATAGAAGATTGTTTCACACATTCATCTTTATCACATCAGGACTGTGAATGGGCTGCTGCAGATCTGTCACCACAGACTGAATGGCTTCTTCCCTTCAGTGCTTTTTAGTGGGATCAGTTAACACATTTAGCAACCAGTTGGCAGAAGCTGATTCACACATCCTTTTTCTTCACTCAGAAGAGGCCCAGGTAGGCCCCCTTGGGCTTTCCTGGCAGTGGCAGGTGGCTGACTCCAGGAGCCACCATTTTAACTTCCCACAATGCCATGACATAACATCACACCAGGGCATTGTGGAACATTTAAAAGCCACTACTAAGGCTGCTATTTTAATTTATCACCATGAATTAGAGCAAAGCTATATCAGGATCATTGTCAGAAGTTTAAAAGGCAACCTAAAGCAACTCAGGAGGGGGTGTCTAGGATGTAGGCGTATATTCTCATATGGCCAACTAGATGCCTATTCTATGACTGTTAAGCTTATTCAAGAGTCTTTGGGTGAGATACTTTGTTGGAAGCTTTTTGAAAGTCAAAGAAAACTGTGTCAAGCTGGATCACCTCTACTTCTCTGATAACTCTGATAGGACTTACCTTTGCAGAACCATGCTGGTTCTGTTTTGGCAAGGCTTGCAGTTGTCAATGTTCTCTTGCTTTGATATTGCTACACTCCTACAGCTGTAACATGGGAGCTCATTTGTCTGTTGGGGTGGGGACAGGCTGAGCTGAACCACAAAACTGACTATCACCTGTTGGCTGAAGAAATCATAAAATGAAGGGTAGCAGACCTGCAGTGGCGTTGCTGTCAAAGGTCTACTCACCCAACTCTCCTGCATTGTTTGAACAACAACAAAAACCAATGAGGAAACTCACTGACAATGTGAGCAAATGCTTTCCTCAGGTTTCACCTCCACCCAAGTCCTAGAGTCTTAGGTTCTCTGCACAGTGAAGGCTTTCATAATGTAACACTGATTGGCACATGAGGTTTTTTAGGATCTGCGGCCACACTTCATAGCCACTTCTGTGAATGAATTTGCACCCCATCTCATTAGAGGCCATCACCTTGTGAGACCAATAGACTCTCATCTATTCAATTTTAGCTCCATGGAGTAAATCCAAGAATAACAGCAACTCATATCTTGCTGATTTAATATCCTGTTTCCTCTAGCACCTCTCTCCAGGGACTAGTAAATTCAGTTCATGTTTTCAAACTGCCACATACAATTCTGACACTGGATATCATTTAGCACAGTTCTCTCCAGTTGCTTTTTGTTCTGCAGCTGTGTTAAGTCTGCTGCCCTTTAGCCATAAGCTCAGGCTCAATGGATTTGTTGACTACAGACAGATCCCCACACCATACATTTAAAGGCACATCTAATGCACATTTAAAGCACATGACTTCCCCAACAGAACCCCGGAAGTGTAATTTCCCCCTCACAGAGCTATAATTCTGAACATAGAATCATGCAATTGTAGAACTGGAAGGGACCATGAGGGTCATCTAGTCCAACCCCCTGCAATGCAGGAATATTTTCCCCAATGTACCCATGGCTCTGAGATTAAGACCTTAACATGTTACAGTTCCCAGGGTTGTTTGGGGGATACCACGTGCTTTAAATGTGTGTGTTGGAACTGCCCTAAATTTACAAATATTTGCAGAGAAACACTGTTGATTGCAGAAAAGGTTAACCTTTCAAAGAACCTGCAGACCAAACACTGAAAAGTGTTCTCTTTATGGCATGAAAACTACACCAGGATCGCAACCAGGCAACAAGATATAAACTGTTTGGGCCAAAATGAACATACAGGATCTGAACTATTCTGGAATTTGCTGGGATCTATAAATTGTGACCATATTGTTTGAAATGGCTGGGGAAAGAGGCATGTTGTTTCAGAGGTAGATTCTTCTGCTATCTGTCCAAAGAGCAATATTGTACCTAGCTTTCAGAAACTGTGTTCAGTGAGGTTGTTTTAAAGTGCTAGGACAACTGCACTTGAATAAAATTGATCTATCCATTGACTAATTAAAAGTGGCCAAGAGGGGGCCTGGCATATGGCTTCAGGGAGGCTAGTTTAAAGTCTAGACAGAGAAGGCCCCAGCTGAAGATGGATTGGGATACAAAAGGCCTCTGGTGCAAAATTTAGATGGTGGGTGGTCCTCAGTGCTGCCTCTCTCTGCCTCTTCTGGGCTGTGCTGTCTCCAGTCAAGCTCCACTACAAGCAGGCAACTTTACCATCTACATTGCTTGCAATCCAATCATTTCAAATGCAGCAGTTACTCATCTCTAAAAGGAGTCTGGTTACACCTCTGTGTAGGACAGTGCTCTGAGCTTTCAGTTCCCATCAGTTCTGACTATAGGGATCACCAGCCTTTTGGAGCCAATTTGCTAACCAGAGAAGCTTGCAGACACTACATACAATGCAGCAATCATATGGCTGTTGATATCAGGCAGGAGCCTTCACCCTACTGAGATTCGAGCAATGCAGGGGGTGGACCAGATGACCCTCAGTTCCCTTCCAACCTTACAATGCTTTGATGCCATGAGTCTATAAAAAAGGGGTGAGGGTGTTATGATCATGGAAAGGTGTGAGGAGCATATTTGTTCCCTCTAGAAATCAGAAATCATTTTATTAAAACATACTGTTTGAATGCACTACTGGAAGAAAAGGCAACAGACATTACAAAAAGTAATGTCACTGCCACCTCTATGCAATGATATACTTTAAAAATCAAATTTTGCCAGTAATTGCCACAATTTAGTTGTAGGCATTCAGTGTCGCTGCATTAATGGTGCCAAAGAGGTTCGTTGTGCCTCATTATCTACCTGCCCAGGTATCAATCCAATTGCCTTTGTGATGCTGTCTGGTCATCCTCTTTTCCAGCAGATCTGGCAGAAAGAAACCTCCACTCTGTTCCAATTACAGCTGTGAGAGAACACGAGGAAGGCGTTTTCCCCCCTTCCTGGCTAATGAAGAGAAGGCTCCTTCTCTCTAATTCTCGAGAGCAGGCAAGGCATGCCTGCCTGAGCCTCCTCATCTCTCCCCTGCTAGAGCAGCTGCAGCCAGGGCCATCCCTGCACTGCTGTTGGCTGCCTCACTGAAGAATCACAAGAAGGAAGCCCTTTGCTCCTTTAATCTTGCTGGCAGGGAGACGGTGGCAGCTGCAAAGAGAAAAAAAGGAGGAGACCAGATGGCTTGCCAGAGACTCCTTTGCTTGGGCATGATCCCACCACAAGCACCAAACTCCTTCCCATTCAGAACTTTAGTTTGCAAGACTGCAAGAGTGTTGTTCCTTTGTTTTTAAAGAAACCAAACCTTCTACTATAAAGAAGAAATTTCATTTTAGGAAGATGACTGTGATTGATTAGTTGTGCTGATATTCCCTGGCACGCTTTGTTCTTCTATGTTGAAAGACAAAAATGGATGGTCTGATGGGAGAACCTGAAAATGGATCCTTGCTGCTAGATCCCCCAGCAAGTTCCTCACCTTTGGATCCGTTCTTGCAACCCCTGGACTTCATTGAACCCTGGAACTTCCACCTTCTCTCTGCTCTGATGTTCTTGGTGACTTCCCTGTCCCTCTTCGAGAATTTTACCGTCATCCTGGTGACTCTGAAATTCAAGCAGTTGAGGCAACCTCTAAACTATGTCATCGTGAACCTCTCCGTGGCCGATTTCCTGGTCTCCTTGATTGGGGGCACAATCAGCTTTTTGACTAATCTGAAGGGTTATTTTTTCATGGGCCACTGGGCATGTGTGCTGGAAGGATTTGCAGTCACGTTCTTTGGTAAGTGAAAAGGTTACTGATCTTCCCAGCCCTCGATGTAAGTTACACTTGCAGATGCATTTAAATAACAGTGCAATCCTATGCATGCTTATTCCAAAGTCAATCCCATTGAGTCTTATTTCCCCAAGGAAGTATGCATAGGTCTGCACTGTTACAGCCTGCAGGCAAAAGGGACCGGCTCACAGACACGCTGTACCTTGGGACAATTGCTGAGTTCTTTTGCGCTTGCTGTTACTGAGCTTTTCATTCTGAAGATAACACAGCAAGGTTTGCTAGCAGCTATCCATTTATGAGATTTAGCAAAAGCGCCTTTGTGACTGCTAATAGGGATTTATCTCTTTGCACATATACTGGAAGAAATCCTGTGTGCTACAGAACCCAAACTCCAGGGTGAGGGGGGAGGTATGAGACATGCTTTCTTGGGGGACCTTTTATAATTTGAAGTGATAATGTTGAAGCGTGTCTCCCTGAAAAATAACGGTATTGTAACTCAGGGCTATTAACCAATTAAAGTGCTCTTCGTTGATTAAGTGTGGTGCTTCATCTGGTTAATTGGTCAATTACTCTGCATCTCAGGTCACCCAAAGAGGGCTCCTTCTGCTAGCCAATGAATCCTCACAATCTTCATATTTTCTGAACACACTTGCACCTAGCTTGTCAAATAGCATTCCTAGGTGAAATCTAGCAGTTAATTGGTTCTATCTTTGTGCCATCCACATGGCTACTTCAGGGCAATTATGCTGGATTACAAACATAGCAAGCTGCCAGTTAAGTGAGTCAGACCACTGGTCCAGTACTGCCTATGTTCCCATTGGGATTAAATTTGGGACTGTCCCATTTTACATAGATATATGTATTTCCAGTTTCTTCTCATGGTAATGCCATGAAGTTGAAGACTAGCAACTTAAGGCCACCGAGGGAACTTCAGAGTTGTGTGGGGGCCTTGAACCCAGGCTTCCCTAGCCCAAATCTAATATACTACCCACTTTACAACAGCACACTGGGTCTTGGTGATGATTGTTCCATATGGACCTATGCTTCAAATTGCCTTTGCAAAGGGTCGTCCGACGAGCTATTTCCATCTGCAGGTCAAGAGCAATAATGCTTTCCTAGGACAATCATCACATCCTTTTTCAAGCACCCTCAGGGGAATGGCAATGGGAGGTCTGTTCCCCCCTGAATCTTCTAGCAATAACAACACTGACTGCTGGCAAAGAGTGAAGTCTTCCACAGTGCAGTGGTCCTAACAGAAAGCAAGGAGGTAAACAGCCAATGTGAATATAGCATCTATATTCTGTAATGCACATTTTAAGAGCCGGTAGAAGGGGTTAAGAGAAGTTTGGCTTGCGACAGGCTGGGCTAGCCAATGCCATAGGCTATAATTCCTGCAGGATGTGTGACTTATAGGGAGAAGATACTGGACTGGGGTAAAGTTATTCTTCAATCACTTCTTTGTTTTGCTCAGCAGGAACATCTGCCATCCTCTACTGTCACTGGAGCATTTCAGTGGCATATTACTGTACCTCCCAAACCACAACCTACCCCCTCTCCTACCATTCCTAAAATGATTCCTTGTAAATGCTGAGCAGCTTGTACATGCTGAAAGGAAGTTCTGCTAACTGGGTGCATGAGCAACATGTGGTTGGCAGTGCTTCTTGCAACCTAAAGTTAATCAATGCACAACACACAGAGTTTCTGTATCTAACAGTTATTGGCTGATTGCATTTATATCCCACTTCTCCCCCAAGGAGTGTGAGGTGGCGTCCATGGATCGCCTCTCCTCCTCATTTAATCCCCACAATGGCCCTGTGAGGTAGGTTCATCTGGGAGGCAGGGACTGGCCTGAGGTCACACAGTGAGCTTCGTGGCCAAGTGGGGAGCTGAACCCTGGTCTCCCAGGTCCTAGCCCGACCCTCTAACCACATCACTGCAATGACTCATTTTGTACATGTGCCCAGTGTAGGTTTCCCAATGGATGTTACAGACCAGTGCAAGCAGCCCAGCCCATTTCTGCTTTCCCTGTAACATCCAACAACCTCTCCCCTCACATATATCATCATCATGCAACTGAACTTAAGTTCCTTCATGTCTCCTTTATTTCAGCAGCATCATAAAACACAGACAACTCCCCCCTTTAGAATTAATGGCATTTTAAATGGGCTGAACTGTGCCAAATTGCTTCTAATCCTGGAAAGTTCCATGAATGCAGAATTCTAAGCATCCCATTTCTCTGAGCGCTCTGCCTCCAATTCAGATCAGATGCATTGCCTTTGTTTTTATAGCCCCAGAAGAAGTCATTCTAAACAATATTTGGCTGCTCCCTGGACTGAAGAAAGCAGGCAGGTGGGGAGTAGCTGATGGCAGACTGAGGTGGTGGGAGCAGTGCCTCATTTGTCCTAAGGGACCAACCTGCAGATGGTCCCTTGTCTCTCTAGAGAGAGAAAACCCCTAGAGAACTGCTTCCTGGTCTGACTTGGTACAAGGCAGCTTCACATGTCCATTTGATTGGGGATTTGAGCTCAGATCTCCCTGGTCAAAGTCCAGCACTCCACCCAGTGGGAAATCTGTAGCTTTCTAAATGTTGTTGGACTCCCAACTCTCACCAGTATGGCCAGTGGTCAAGGATGCTGGGGGTTGGAGAGCCACAGGTTCCCCATCCTTGCAATATGTTACACCAACTTCTTCTTCCCCCTAATTTAGCTCATTCTCGTTGCAGGAATAGTCGCCCTCTGGTCCCTTGCTCTGCTTGCGTTTGAGCGCTACATTGTGATTTGCCGTCCCATGGGAAACATGCGCCTCAGGGGGAAGCATGCAGCTCTGGGAGTAGCCTTTGTGTGGGTTTTCTCCTTCATCTGGACCATCCCTCCTACAATGGGCTGGAGCAGCTACACTACCAGCAAGATTGGAACTACGTGTGAACCCAACTGGTAAGGCAACTCAGGGATGCGGCATTTGTTTGATCAGCCCTAATCCGGCAGAACCTAAAAACCTCGTGTGGTTTTTATAGGTATTCTGGAGACTATAACAACCGTACTTTCATCATTACATTCTTCACCACCTGTTTTATCCTGCCCTTATTGGTGATTTTGATATCCTATGGAAAACTGATGCGGAAACTTAGAAAGGTAGGTGAGAACATTTGCAAGAGATACGAATCCCTCTGAAGGAGTGCTTTGGCACCGGTGGGCTTTTGTGTCAAAGGATTAGATTTTGTATGGATCAAATTTCCAAACTTTGGGATCTTAATTAGTCATGTATATTGTGCACATCTTAGGCTGTGATTTGATTAGTGCAGATTCCTAGGCCAGGAGCAGGTTGAATATGTCTAGATGCTCAGCGGAGCAGCAGAAATCTGAACAACGTCACCTGTGTGGCTGACCCACTTTGTGCTGTTCAGGAGGATGTTTATGAGTAGTGCAGATCTGGTGATGGCATTTCCATCGTGCCAAGAGTGGTGGTACTGCAAGATCTCATGTCATGCCACTCCCTTTTGCAAACAGTGAACTTCGTTTCAGCTTGATCATCTTAACAACAGCGTCTACACAGTTGCAAGTGTAGACGTATTAGGAGAGTCACACATGTTCAGAGTCCTGAAAACTGCAGGGGAATTAAATATATGAATCTCTATGACCCACATGTATGGGGTGAATAACAAAAGAATTGGTTAGGTGCCTCTCTAGGTTCAAAACACAGAGTTTACCACACTCTCCAGCAGCAAGGAGAGCACAGGCAGAATACTCTTGGGCTTCAAACACATGCTCTAAACTTGGAGTTTGCTTACATATGTCCTCCCTGAAAACAAATAAACTGGGTCTAAAAAATCCTACTGGTATCCCTGCTTGCAGATGTCATCTAGGTAGAAAGCCCTTACTTTGCTCATGCTTTTGATGAGATCTCCCCCCACTCTCTCTTTTCAAGGTTTCAGATACTCAAGGCAGACTGGGCTCTACAAGGAAACCTGAAAGACAGGTGACCAAAATGGTTGTCATTATGATCCTTGCATTTTTAATCTGCTGGTCTCCTTACGCAGCCTTTTCAATCTTGGTCACCACCTATCCTTCCATCAAACTGGACCCTCGCCTCTCTGCCATTCCAGCGTTCTTTTCAAAAACGGCCACGGTGTATAATCCAGTTATCTATGCCTTTATGAACAGTCAGGTACTGCACACCTCCTCTTTGGGTATTTAAACCAAATTGTTTCTGAGTCCATGGGGAACATTTCTGGTTTGTTTTTTCCATTCCTGTTTTAACAAATTGTTTCTGTCCACTTACGTGTTAAATTATTGCTTCACTCCCATGATTTATGACATCTTTTATTCAGCTTGTTATATGCGCTATTGATTCTGGCTTGCATTCCAGAATATATTTACTTCAGAGTAACTCTATTAAAATCAGTTGCAGGGTTTTAGAAAGCATGGGATGAGGACTGTCCACAATATTGGCTACCATTCCCCCTTCTGGGAGAATCCTCTGATTTAGGAGATGATGGGGCTTGGCCGATTATGTTGTTTTAGTGCATGGGTAAGCAAGCTAAGGCCCGGGGGCTGGATCTGGCCTAATTGCCTTCTAAATCCGGCCCACGGAAGGTCCAGGAATCAGTGTGCTTTTACATGAGTAGAATGTGTCCTTTTATTTAAAATGCATCTCTGGGTCATTTGTGGGCCTGCCTGGTGTTTTTACATGAGTAGAATGTGTACTTTTATTTAAAATGCATCTCTGGGTTATTTGTGGGGCATAGGAATTCGTTCATTCCCCCCCCCCCATATAGTCCAGCCCCCTACAAGGTCTGAGGGACAGTGGACTGTCCCCCTGCTGAAAAAGTTTGCTGATGCCTGTTTTAGTGGTTCATTTTAGGCATGTGTACCCTTCGCTTTGAACATGCAACATAGAAACAAAGAACTGTAGAATTGGAAGGGACCCAAAGGTCCATCTAGCCCAGCCCTCTGCAATGGCTTTCCAGGACACCTCACATAATTTCAGCACAACAATAATTATTTGTGATTTCATTCCTAGTTCCGGAAGTGTCTCATCCAACTGTTTCGATGCAGTGGCCAAGATATTGCCGACTCCAACGTGAACCCGATTTCAGAAATGGCAGTGCTCACACACAGCAAAAATGGCAGAGAGATGTCCACAGCGGCACCGCCTCTTACTGTCTTCAGCCGGAGAAGTGAAGATGAGCAAAGCAGCTGCCATTCTTTCGCCCAGCTGACTATCGCAGAAAATCAAGTTTGTCCAGTGTGAATGCAACTCTTCAAGATGATGAGCCAGGACTACTAACTGGGGATGGGGAACTTGTGGCTCTGTAGATTATGTTGGATTATGATTCCCCCTCCCCAATCCTTGACTACTGGCCACACTGACTTAGGCTGATGAGAGATGAAATCCAACAACATCTGGAGGGCCACTGGTTCCCTGTCCCCATTGTAAACCATTCCATTGTTAGCATTCATTTGATCAAAATAGCAGCCAACAAGAATGTCAAAGCCAATTGCTCAGCATGTTCTATTAGCTGGTAGCGTTATGAATCCATTTAGGCTACAATAATATGCACACTTACCTGGGACTAACTTGTAAGTAGGTAAACATAAGACTGTTAGTGCTTTTTCCTCAAGCTGTTAGTGCTTTTTCCTCAAACGATTCTAATGCGCATGCTTTAGCATTAATGTAACATTTGGAAGATACCATCTGTGTTATGGACCTTAAGAAAATAACAAAGAATTGTTCATGGAGACAGTTTACTACTCCAGAGTCTTAACATCACTCTTTATATTTTCTTTTTCTTGTTCCACTGAAATTGTTTGAAATTGTTGGATTGGAATTTTATTTTCCTTCTTTATCTACAAATGAGGTGGATTGATATTTTCAGAGGAGAGGAGAGGAGAGTCTGAGGTGTAACTGTTTAAGAAATTCTGTATGTAACATAAACATGCCTTATTTATTTTTGCATATACTGTGTTTTCTTATTCTGCGTATCTTCCAAGGAGCTCAGCGAATGCTCCCAATTTATCCCAAGAACCCTGTGAGCTAGTTTAGGCTCAGGGATCAGTGACCTGACCCAAGGTGAGTTTCATGGCTGAGTCAGGATCTAAATCAAGTAAATCAATAAAAACAGTTAACTGAGGTTCTGCCTCCCTAACATAAAGCCTACCCCTCTCTGTTCATTGTTTCCCCACTGCTATCAGAATGGAGATTGACCCACCATCCCAGGGCTAGGAGCCTTTGTGGGGGGTGGGGAGTCCCCACTAGTGCAACCTACAAAGTCATCAGCAATCCTTCAAAAACTGGTGAGGCGATTCAACACTCAGGAAGGAGATGAAGGCATTGGGAGAACTAAGTTTTGTTAACTCAGTTGTTTCCCCAGGCCACCTCCAGTCTCCCAATCTGTCTGCTTTAGGAAAACAACTAATGGGATTTCCTTCTTGCAATTACATGGACCTAGAGTGAGTCAAATGGTATATGTTTTTACTTAATCAAAACAGGGGCAATTTTGTTTTTGAAAAGTTATCTGGAGTCTGTTTCCATCTTTCTCCATCTCTCTACCTTTCATCCCCCCAAATCCATGATTTCATCAAGTTAGGTAGCTCGGAAAGCTACATCATTGCTCAGCAGGTTTCTGCCAGTAATGTCTGAGCCAGAAAAGACAACTGGTTACAAATGATTCTGTCATCCATGCTGTGGCATCATGAGAGAACAGTGTCATACAGTGTGTTTGTGTTTGTGTACACACACACACACACACACACACAGCCCTCCCCAATGCCATAAACAATTTCCCAATCTTTGAACATATGTAATTTTGAAATCATTTGAAAGCCTGGAATTCTTTTCCAAATAATTCAGTCTTTAAACCGAACAGTGTTCAAGATCACCCTCAAACACAAGCTGATTAAGAATAATTTCATCAGCGATTTGAGCCACACACAACAACTCAGTTATGTCCTGTTATTTCCTCCCCATTGAAAGGTGTGCCTGCTTTGCTCTTTTTCTTTAGTTCAGGATATATGGATCATGCAGAGGACATGAAGGCCACATAATTTACAAAGTCTGGCAAGAATGTTAATTGCATCAACGGATAATTGAGCAAAGTGGTATATCACAGATGATGCTCACCATTTCCTGTTAATAAATGGCGTTTTCCAGGATAGCAGAACCAAACTTGCTTTGAAGAACCCTGAATTGCCTTAAATTCAAAGAATCATAGAAATATATATATATATATATATATATATATATATATATATATATATATATTAGGTGTAATTTGAGACAAACTCTCATCTCCTCATCAATGCAAAGAAGCCTTTATCTTTTCTGATCATTCGTATTTGTCAGAGTTGAAAATCCCCATTCACAATGTTAACAGAACTGTAGAAGAATAGCCAGTGCTATTGAAGAGAGGTGTGGATACTGTTTCTGGTTTCTTAATTTTCATACTGTACTGTATTACACTACACTGATATGTTTAAATGTTTCTTTGATTGCCCTTGAATCCTCCTGCCACACCTTTTGAGAAAAACCACTGTAGACAGAGTAATCAAAGTACAACCACTAATTCACAAGGAACGATGCAGCCAATGGGAGATTCCTCCCCCCCCCCGTTTCCCATAACTATTTAAGAGCACATTTGGAAGGACTGCAGCCCCATTGTGGAGCACCTGTTTGCATGCAAGTCTCAGATTCAAACACCGGCAACTCTAGGTGGGGTGCAGACACCCCCCGCCCCGCCTGAAACCCTGGAGAGCTGCTACTGGTCATTACAGACCCATGGAATGACTCCTGTGTATAAGGCTGTATATGCACCATACGTTTAAAGCACATTCCCCTCCCGCAAAGAATCCTGGGATTCTTTGGGGAGGGGGATGAGCTTTAAATGTATGGTGTGTACGAAGTGTAAGGCACTTTCTTGTCTCCCTGTGTACCAATATAGCAAAACTCTAAGCTCAATAGGGAAGGCGAGGGGGCCCTCTTGTGGCCAGTTCAATATTTGAGTGGGGGAATACATCTGTCTGTCTGTCTCTAGCTCACACATACGCGCACACACATTTTCCCTTGTGTTAAGAATAATTTTCTTCTACAGATATACTCCCTCGGGTCAGCCAGTCGCAAGAGTGATTAACTAAAAGAAATCATAAGATGCTGTAGCAAGGATTAATATTTAATTATCTTTTACCTCTAGAGAATATGTAGAGTGATTAGATTAATTGCTTGTGACGCTTATTAGAATTACAATAGCAAGGGCTTGCATGGGGTGAAAGCCGAAACATGAGTGCTCAGAGGGCTTGTGGATATTATAGACTGGAGAACAAAAGTCCACTTAAGTACAGTGTTCGTATAGAAACAAAGCAGACATTGTACCTCCGTTGTTTCACTAGATGGATGAACATCATCATTAATTGTTATGAATTATGAGAACATTTTGATTCATGAATTGCCTACACCAAAGCCTCCAGGTGGCTCACAGAACTTACAAAATCACAAACACAATATTTAAAATGCATAATTGCATTTCACAAATGACATGAACCAACAACCTTCTCCGTTATATAACTTCCACACAAAAGAAAAATATCTCATAGCAGGACAACAGAAATAACTACCCCGAAGCAACCATCAGTTAAGAAAAAGATGCTAACCCTAAAACTATTACCAGTAATACTAACCGAACTACTAAAAAATTATTGGAACTTAATGAAAGGCCTGTGTGTGTGTTTAGTTTGGAGTAAATGCTTATCTTTGGACTGTATGGCTGCATCCGCGCAGCAGTTTATTCCATTTACTTGATGTTTCCCTATTTCCACATTATAGCTGAGCTTCTGCATGATATAAAAGCCACTTCTGTAAATATAGCATAATATCGCTCAAGTTCAGCACTCTTTTCTGCTTTACTGGAAATGAACACTAAACCTGCGCTATATTTCTCTTTATTTCCAGAAGTGGATTTTACATTGTGTGGCAATTAATGCTTAAGGAAATGATGGGGAAAAGGAATAAACTGCCATGCGAATGTGACTTAGTCCCACACCCCAACACCCCCTCCTGGAAGAGAATTTCAGGCCCCACTCCAAGCCATAGCTCAGTGGCACAACACCTGGCTTGCAAGCAGAAAGCCTCTGCTTCCATACTCAGCATCCCCAGGTAGGGTTATGAGAGACTCATGCCTGAAGTCCTGGAGAACTGCTGCCAGTCAGTGTAGACCAGGGGTCAGCAACCTTTTTCAGCCTTGGCCCGGTCCACTGTTCCTCAGACCATGTGGTGGGCCGGACTATATATATATATATTTTGGGGGGGGGGATGAACGAATTCCTATGCCCCACAAATAACCCAGAGATGCATTTTAAATAAAATGACACATTCTACTCGTGTAAAAACATGCTGATTCCCAGACCGTCAGCGGGCTGGATTGATAAGGCGATTGGGCCGGATCCAGCCCACGGGCCTTAGGTTGCCTACCCCTGGTGTAGACAATATTGAGCTAGAGGGAACAATGGCCTGACTTGGCATAAGCATAGCTGTCAACCTTTCCCTTTCCTTGCGAGGAATCCTATTCGGGAATAAGGGAATTTCCCTTTAAAAAAGGGAAATGTTGACAGCTATGGGCATAAGGCATCTTCCTAACTTCCTCCACCTCCAATTTCACAAAGGGTATGGAAAAACCTGGGCGGTCATTTTCATTTGTTGAAAATGTCTCCTGTTCACAGTCTGATGTGAGCAGGGTTTCTGCTCACCCTCATTCTGAAAGCCATTGCCGCTGCCATCTCCCACAAGGCTTCTCAGAAATTTAACTTTGTGCAGGCCTTATTCCTTCTGCAATATTTCCCAGCAGATATTGGGCAATGTGGAGTGCTTTCTTCAGGGAGGTTTCTCTGCCCTGCACCAGATTTCCTTCTGATGAAAACAATTTATTTGGTGAAGTTTTTCAGCATGAAGTATGAAGCTGATTTTATTGTACCCAGCTATGCAGCTAAAATCCAGCTATGGATTTTATCATTCTGTTATGCCCTGTTTCTGAGTGGGACTGTAATGCATTTTTAAAAATGTTGCTAGTTCCCCTGAGCATTTGTAAAATGAAAGGCAGCATGTAGTAATTTTTAAAAACAAAATATCTATGAAGATGTTTCTGATATATGTCCACTTGTTTTGATGAGTTTGAGATAAATTAGATCATGATCAGTGAAAGAACCACCAGACCCTCCAAGTGTCCCTATTTTCCAGAGGCAGCCCAGATTTAGAGAAGCCGTCCCGGCTTCTGATTTGATCCCAGAATGTCTCACTTTCCCTATTTTCATTAGAGAAATGTTGGAGGGTATGGAGTTATCTGACCCCCGAGCCATCTGAAAGGAAAGGTTGTTTTTTTTTGAAAAAAGTTTAATGTTTTATTATGTTTTTATATATGTTGGAAGTGGGTAGCTTCCAACATGTATAAGATGAGGGGAGTATAAATAGTAAAATCATCATTATGGAATGGGACGTCCCTATTTTCACCAGAGAAATGTTTGAGGGTACGCTATTCACACAGGTCCTCGCAATCAATTCAATGATTCCTCAGTAGGTGCAGCAACTGGATGCTCATACAAACACATAGTAGGCCTGACTCATATAAGGGAATTGCCTATCACCAAACTTGGAAACAAAGAAACTGATATGTAATGCTACATAATTTGGTTTCTATTAACTTTTTTAACCCAGTCCACAGCCTAAAATTAGTCTCCAGCTTTGCAAACATAAAAAACTGCTATGATTCTCTTCACCTATGCCTTCTACTTAACCAGTAGCTTGTGTGTTTCACTTAAGGTTGAAAACAGATCTGCATAACTGATGGTATTTATGTTTCTTAACGTGGGGAATAAACTTTGTGTATGATAGATATTCCCACAGAATGGTATTTTAATACTAAGCAAACAAAAATATTATAAGATTTATAGCAGCAAGGTGCCTTATTCTTTTTCAAAAATTGGATGATGACCTAATATTATGACTTTAGCATGCTAAAAAGTTGTGCAGTGGGAAAAGAGCTCATACAGGGATGCCACCCCATACATGCATGGTAGTGCTAATAGTCACAAGTGATATTAGCTTACTATTTTTTAAAATATTTCTGATTACCACTCTTTATATAGTCAGTAATGGAGTATTTGAGATAGAGTTCTGCCACATGACAAAGATGGTGATCAGAAATTGCACTGATTTACCAAGGAACATTTCGTGGCATTGTGCACAATTTGCTAAATTAGCATCCTGCAGCTACAACCTCTTTCTGTTTCTCAAGTCGGTTATTTCATTTTAATGATGCAGCCGAGACAAACCAACTGACCTCCTTATAAATCTACCATGACATTAGAGGATAATTACTTTGTGTTTGTCTTTAAAGAACATGTCAATGGTAATCCATCACACAGCTTGTTTACAAGGGAAATCGTGCTCTCATTTTGTAGGAACCGTACGTAATTGCTATTAGCAGTACTCTGCACTTGGAAGTTTGCACTGAGCTTTTCTATCAAATACTCTGCTTTCAAGATTTTGGCTGAGACTCAGGCTACTTTGGCTGTCCCAGATAAAGGGTGAGAGGAAGTGTTAGCAACTGGTGCTTCCTTTCTTCCAGGCTGCCAGATTCCATCTGAATGGTCTGCAAATGCTATTTTTGTCTCTGAGATCAGGCTTTCCTATTGCAATGACATGGACCAAGGCCATTTAGAAATGGACCAAGGCCATTTAGCAATGAACTTTGCTGAGGTGGATATTCTCTGGCAATATGAGAGTAACACATTGGCACAACCTTCATTCAATAAAGCTGCAGAAGGCTTGAGAAGCCGAGGTGAAAGCAATGGGTGAGAGACCCCTAACCAGTTATTAACTTTTGAACACTGGGACATAGGAAGCTGCTTTTTACTGAGTCAGACCATTGTAACTCTGTATTGTCTCTACACTGACTAGTAGTGACACTCCAGAATTTCAGACAGGGAACATTTCCAGCTCTACCTGGAAATGAGAGGGATTGAACATAGGACTCTTGGCGTGCAAAGGAGATGCTTTACTACTGAGCTCTGGCCCTTCCCAAAGTTCGGGAACAGAGAGCCTATGGTTGAGGGTGTGCCCACAAAAACTTCCTGGAGAGTAAAGACATTAGAACTTGCCTACTTTGGGTTTTATGGCTTAAATACATAAGCTTAGTGCTGATCAACTTTTCCCCCATTGCATCTTATGGACACTTTTCCGCATTTGTTGCAGAAATAGAAAAGAAATGGATGCCGCACCAACATTTAATAATACCATGATTTGTATGCCAATTTTAAATCTCAGGGGAATGCAGAGAGGCACTCTCAGTGCTTGTCTTGCAGCTCTGGAGACCCACCAAAAATCTGAGCCTAACCATTTTTTTGGAACTGCTTTTTGGGGACTTTGGCACAGAGGGGGACGGTGGTACCTCGGGTTAAGTACTTAATTCGTTCCAGAGGTCCGTTCTTAACCTGAAACTGTTCTTAACCTGAGGTACCACTTTAGCTAATGGGGCCTGCCACTGCCGCCGTGCTGCCGGAGCATGATTTCTGTTCTCATCCTGAAGCAAAGTTCTTAACCTGAGGTACTATTTCTGGGTTAGCGGAGTCTGTAACCTGAAGCGTATGTAACCTGAAGCATATGTAACCTGAGGTACCACTGTAATTTGAGTGTAATTATGCTGATTTTTTATTATAAAAAAACTTAATTAATATATGGATCAATGCTCCTGTTCCCAAATCCTTTGGGGATGTAGAAGCTAACAATATAAATTCTCCAGGGAATCCTTGCTGCAATTATAACCCCAGATGTTTAAAAGCCAACATTTCTAAGTAGTCAGAAAATAATGCCCCTTCAAAAAAACAAAACTCTACTACTGCTTATTTTAGTTCT